TCCCCATTCACGACTGTTTGTGGATGGTTTCCCATGTAGTTTCCAGCATCGTTCTTTGGTGTGCTGTGGTTTCTTGCAGTACGTGCACCACAATTCTTCGCGATCCTTCTGCACACTTGACTGATTGATCTTGTCCGCAGCAGCTTTGTCCAGTACCAGCCCCTGAGGTTTAGAGCTTAGAAGAGCAGAATTTTCGGTTGAAGGCGACTCTAACATAATGCTCCTGCGGCTCTCTTCTGCACGAACCAGGGATATTGCTTCGGTTAGAGAGGGAAATTCAGGTCTGCCTAGAATTTGAATTCGTACAAGATCAAATTCAGAATTTAGGCCTGTCAAAAAATCATAAACTCGGTCCCTTTCAATAAACTTTTTGATGAACACTGCACATTTGTTACAGTTCAAATCAAGTGTCCTGTAATAATCCAGTTCTTGCCACTGGTTTTGCAGAAAATTCACATACTCCGTCACCGTTTTCGTCCCCTGTTTCGCTCTAGTTGTCTTCGTCTTGATATCATATATAAGAGCTGCATCATTGACCTTGGAATACGTTTGATGAAGGGCATCCCAAATCGCCCTTGCTGTAGGAAGAAACATACACGCATCACTGATTTCAGGGGTCATGGAATTCCATAACCACGACATGATCATTGAATCCTCTTCTTCCCACGCTTCAAATCTTGCCATTCCGCTTTCTGGTGTTATCTCCAGTAGATGACCTAACTTTCCTTTTCCTTTCAGAAACGTTCGAACCAGTTGAGACCGCTTCAGATAATTTTTTTCATTTAGTCTATATGCTGCCTGGATGTTCTGAAGCTCTGTTGTGCTTCGTGTAATCTGTTCTTCCTCCACAGTTGAAGACAATTGCGACAATGGCGTTGAAGATGTAACGTCCGTCATGATTGAATATGGTCAAATAATAGGTGGGAAAAAAAATTGGGAAAAAGAAACAGCGATAAAGGCTGAAAAGAATAAGAAAGGAACCAGCAATTAAGGCTGGGATTAACAAGAAGCGAAGGTGATATTTCCCTGAAACCCTAGACGAGCTCTGATACCATGAAGAAAAAAGATTCTGAAAATTTTATTAATTCTGTATATTGCTTCACAATTCATTCTAGTCTATATATACAATTTTCTGTTACACTAAACAAGGAAAGTCTACAGCTAATTCCCTTAACTTTAAGGACAGATTTTAACCATGATTTCCTCCACTAACTTTCCTAAAATATCTACTAAGATTACTCATCCGAGATTTCCTACAGAGATCAAATAATGCTTTGGCACTATAGGCTAGGGCACCCTAGTTTCCCTTATCTAAGAAAAATGTTTCCTGATTTGTTTAAAGGACTAGATTGTTCTTCCCTTTATTGTGAAAACTACATTTTATCACAGAGCCACCGTTCTAGTTATCCTTTAAAATCTTATCAAGCCTCACGGTCATTTTATTTAATCCATAGTGATGTGTGGGGTCTCTCGAGGATCAAAACAATGTTTGGCAAAAGATAATTTGTTACTTTCATTGATGACCACACACGTTTATGTTGAGTCTACTTAATGCGTGAAAAATCAGAAGTTGGAAATCTCTTTAAAAAATTTTATGCGATGATTGAAAAACAATTTCAAACAAAAATATGCATACTCCACACAGATAATGGCACTGAATATTTCAATGAAGTGCTAGGAAGTTTTTTAAAAGAAAAAGGGATTCATCATCAATCCACTTGTGTTGATACACCTCAGCAAAATGGTATTGCTAAAAGAAAAAATAAACATTTACTTGAGGTTTCACGTGCCCTCATGTTTTCAATGCATACTCGTAAATATCTATAGGGAGAGGCCATTCTAACAGCCTGTTACCTAATTAATAGAATGCCTACCCGTGTGCTAAATTATACTACTCCGTTTGAGTATTTTAAAAAACAACCCAACTTCAATCCAATAACAAGACTTCCCTTTAAAGGTCTTCGGTTGCACTGTCTTTGTGCATTTACCAAGCACAAATCAATCAAAACTTGACCCTAGAACTGAAAAATGTGTCTTTATAGGATATGCTCCAAATAAAAAGGGGTACAAGTGTTTTAATCCAAAAACAAAGAAAATTTTTGTCAGCATGGACGTTACTTTTGTTGAAAAACAACCTTATTTTAACAATAATTTTCTTCAGGGGGAGAAGGAACATGATTAAGAAAAATTTTGGGAAATTCTTCCAACTCCTTTACCTAAACCAATTACAGTTGATTCATCACCCATGTCAAAACAAGATCCGAATAATAGTGATGTTCCCAACCTAAGTGTGCCAAACTTAGTTGACTCATTGACAGGGGGAGAAATACTACCTACGGTTCCAAGAGAATCTAACTCAGAGCTTCTGGTTTATTCCAAGGAAAAGAAATCATCAAAGAGGAAGAGATCCATCTATTATCATAGCACAAGATCAATCAAAAACCCCGAGTGATGAATTCCTAAAAGGATCAGGTACACAAATTCAAACCTTGCCAACCATTCCTCCCTCTTTATCATCTATTCCTGAGTCTAATGAAATTGATATACAGCCTCGAGATCTTGATATCCCTACAGCTCATAGGAAAGGAACTCATTCTTGCACCATTCATCCTATTGCAAAATATCTCTCATATCACAAAGTTTCTCATAATTATAGGGCTTTCATTTCAAAAATCTCACACTTGAGTGTTCCAAGAAATATTTAGGAAGCACTTAATGATCCAGATTGGAAATTGGCAGTGATGGAAGAGATGAATGCTCTTAGAAAAAGTAGAACATGGGAAGTAGTGGACATGCTCAAAGAAAAGAAAACTGTTGGTTGCAAGTGGGTATTCACCATAAAATGTAAAACCGATGGAAGTTTGGAGAGATCTAAAGCGAGGCTCGTAGCAAAGGGATTCACACAGACTTATGGGATTGACTACTATGAAACATTTGCTCCTGTAGCAAAAATGAAGTCAATCCGTGTACTGTTGTCATTGGCAGTCAACTCCAATTGGCCCTTATATCAATTGGATGTAAAAAATGCCTTCCTAAATGGCGATTTGGAAGAAGAAGTATTTATGAGCTTACCACCTGGTTTTGAAGATAAGTTTGGCCAAAAGTTTGCAGACTTAAGAAATCCCTGTATGGTCTTAAACAGTCTCCTAGAGCGTGGTTTGAACGTTTTGGGAGAACTGTGAAAGACTATGGATACTGTCAAAGTCAAGCAGATCACACCATGTTTTATAAACATACTGAAAAGGGCAAACTATCTATTTTAATTGTTTATGTGGATGATATAATCATGACAGGAGATGATATAGAAGAACTAGCAGGGTTGAAGAAGAAACTTGCTAACAACTTCGAAATCAAAGATATTGGAGCACTAAAGTATTTTCTCGAAATGGAGTTTGCCCGATCTAAAGAGGGTATATTTGTAAACAAGCGAAAATATATCCTTGACCTACTCGGAGAAACAAGACTTCTTAGCTGCAAGACTGCTGAAACTCCAATCGATGCCAACTTAAGACTTGAAGCTGCTAAACCCGAGGAAGTAATCGACAGAGAAAAATACCAACGACTGGTGGAAAAACTCATCTACGTATCACACACACGTCCAGACATTGCATTTGCAGTAAGTATGGTGAGCCAATTCATGCACTCACTAGGGCAGGAACACTTCAACTCTATCTATAGAATTTTAAGATACCTAAAGGGGACTCCAGGAAAAGGTTTGCTATTTAAAAATCGTGGACATTCACAGATTGAAGTTTATACCGATGCAAATTGGGCAGGAAGCACGACTGATAGACGATCAACTTCAGGCTATTGTACATTTGTTGGGGGAAACCTTGTTACTTGGCGAAGCAAAAAACAGTGTAGTTGCAAGAAGTAGCGCAGAAGCAGAATTCAGGTCACTGGCTCATGGAATTTGTGAAGTAATTTGGATAAAGAGACTCCTTGAGGACTTGAAGATTTATCCTAGTTTACCTATAAGGGTCTATTGCGACAATAAAGCTACTATCTCAATTGCTCATAACACAGTTCTCCACGACAGAACTAAGCATATTGAGGTGGACAAATATTTTATCAAAGAGAAAATAGAAAGCGGCCTAATTTGCATACCATATGTTCCGACTAGGGAACAAGCTGCTGATATACTCACTAAAGGACTGCACAAAAAGGAGTTTGACAGGTTGATAAGCAAGCTAGCTATAGAAGACATATACAAGCCAGCTTAAGGGGGAGTGTTGAAATATTCGGTGATTAAAGGCACCAACTGTTAGGGATTAAATTAGCATGTAAATATGGAAAGATTAGAATTAGTCAACTACTAGGAATCAAGAAAGAAATCAGTATAGGCTAATTTAGTTAGTTTCTTTTTCCGTTCCTTATTGTAATCCTATTTAAGTGTATACTCTGAAAAGGTTGAATAATACAATTCATTCTTCTCATTACCTACGTTTATAAATTGTTTGTCTAACTAATATCTGAGAATCTAGAAACAACATAAAAAAATAATAATAATAACCCTGAATTGAAGAACAGAAAATAAGTCAAAACAAAATACAGTTCATTCCTCAGTACCCGAAATAATACAACAATAAAAGGTCAAATAACACTTCAACTTCAAAATTAAAATAAAAGAGGGAAAAAAAGAAAACAGAACCAAGAAAAGCATCTTTATGTGTTATGGCCATCTAATACCAATTCGTGGGTTGTGCAGAATGTTTCATCCAACCAAAAGAAATGCAACAAAAATAGTTAGCTTCACCCATCTAACATATCCAGCCAAAACCATCAACATTCAAAACAAAACCATCACAGTAGGTCTACGTATTGTAACTACTCAAATTTATGAGACATGCTCCAATAAAATCACCAACCATGAAAATAGAAGAACTAAACAGAGTACAAAAAGGAAAAAACAACGTAAGTTTCTAGCAAAAAAAAAAAAAAAACATAATAACAAAAAAATAGAATCATAAAAAAAATTAAGAATCGATAAAAATGACTCGAACCGAAGTTCGTACTCATAAAAAAATATAATAAAATAAAAAAAACAACCCATAATCATCATGAAAAAATTTCTCATTTATCACACACCAATCTTTTTTTTTCTTCAGCTATGGGATCAAACATGGAGATAATTTCAGACTGAGATATCTGAGAACCTAAGAGTGAAACAGTGGCTAAGGTACATTTAGATCCAACCTAGCTTTCCTTCCTGCAGTCGAAAAAGGAGAAAAAGAACACCTTATTTTCCCAAAAAAGAAAAAAAAAACACAGTAAATTCATAGAATAAGATGAAAAGTTGTAAAGACATATGGAGACAAATTAATGGACGAGAGTGTGTGAAAGTGAGACTAACAACATTTGAAAGGCAAGAGATGGCAAAGTAATGAATCACTGACGGCAGTAGTGACAAAGTCGGCGTCGGCAACAGTGATCCTCACAAACATGGAGGAGAGAGAGTTACAGTTTGAGAAAAAATTTTAATGTCTTGAGTCAGATATGGAGGAGAGAAACCGGGGCTTAGAAATGGAGAGGAAAACTTGGGATTTGCTCGTAAAGCTTTTACCATCTGCTCTTGAAATCTCCCTCTTTTCTTTGCAACCGAAGAGACAGACCTCCACCATCAATCAATCAAGAGAGAGAGTGTGTGAGAGAAAACTGATTGAAAAGAAGATAGTCACAAATTTTTTTTTCATTAAAAGCATAACAAAAGCAATATTTTAACAGAGCCAAACACGACGTGAGGAGAGCATACACTACATGACAAAATAAGTAAACCAAACTTTGAACAGTAAAATGTGTGGGGAGCTACAGTAAACCAACTGTGATTTCTTATATATTTATAGATTAAAAATATAGGATACCAACAAAATGTTTCGATATCACACAAGGTATTAAAATGATTTTATCCCTATATAACATGTTGGAACCTACGTGCCATAAGCTAGCTCAAAAATTAAAGTATCTCGTCTCAAGTTAAAGTACAAATGTTGAATTTTTAACATCTAGATAGGGAAACCACCCTCGAGGAAGCTTTGAAATTAAACAGCACATATAGACGTACAAAAAGCAGCATAGGAACACCGGATGACTTTTAAAAAAACCTTCTACTTCACAATAAAATCATACAGAAAAAGAAGGGTTTAAATGAGGTGCTTTGATCTTTTTCAGTTTGTTTTTAATGAAAATTTTATAGGAAGGAATAAATGAGAATGATTTCTAGTGTTTAGAAAGCAAGGTGAATTTTTTAAATTTACAAGACACAACGAGAATGATCCTAAAATTGAAAGGACGCCATCTAATAACACGAATATTTTTAATACTCGCACATGAAATGTTTTTCAGATATATCGACTAAAAAGTCGTCAATAAATTCAAACACAAATCTACATTCGAAAACACGACACACATGACACACCTCGTTTCACAACCTGCACACGTAAACTTCCCGTGACCACTCTCAGCTCCAAAACCACAACCCCCACAAACCCATTTCCCACATTGGAATTCTCGTAGTCATTGCATAAAACCACCAAAACCTTCCAAAAACACCCCTGGTCTAGTCAATATATCCTTCCCCCGCCAAAAAAAAAAACTTTCCTTTTCTCTTCATTTTTGAAAACCCCCACAACCCATCTTTGCAAAATCTATAAAAGAAAGCACAAAGATTGTGATCACTTAAAAAGTCCCTCTCAAGCCAAGACACAAAGCAAAATTATCCAGATCAATCCCTCTTTTTTCTTTTTCAAGACTCACTGCCCATGGAAAAAGCTCTCTTTACTGTTTGCTGCAAAAAATCATTCATCATATGTTTATTTGTATAGGGGTATTATGGTAAAATGCATTAGATTTGACATTTCATTTTCACATTTCTTTCTTTTCTACCAAACAACACGAGGAAAAATCCCCTTCTACCATTTTACTTCCTTCACCTAGATATTTTACTTCTCCTTCCTCTTTTCTATCCATCTTACTAAACATAGCATAAATTTCTTTTGACGACAATATAGAGAGGATTTCTAATACTTCCTATAGAGTAGGGGGGGAAAAAAAGGCAGGTCTATTGATACCTGCATGCATTCTCTCTCTCTTTACACACACAAACACACACTCACTGCTAGTAGAAATTTTCATGTAATCTTCACAACCAATATGTTTCACTATACTCCTGCATGTTCGAAAGAATGTCAAGGACCCATAAAAAATCAGCCATAAGCCAATTCAACTTTATTAAAAAAACCATTTCATTTTTAATGTAGGCGATTCACATTATGCACAATTAACTGTGTATCACTAATACTCTCTGAACCATGACAACCACCTTTGATACCTAAGAATACAATCCGCATGAGGCAAGATTGAAGATACCAATAAATTGTTACCGTTGTTGATTTCTTCACTGAGCTTTATTCGTATACGCTAACTTTCAATGACAATTTAAGGGTGAAAAATGCTTTATTTACCTGGAATTTTTATTTCACGAAGACATCCATTAAAAGATGGGAGGAGAGCTCTCTCTTCTGCTTCATCTAGGCAACTTTTCTTTACAAAACAAAATATAGAAATCAGATATAAAAATAGTTGTTACGAATAACATAATATTATAGTGTTTGTTTATATGATCAAAGAGACAATACTTATGCAAATGAGCTTCCCAAATACTTCTGTTGCCAATCAACTTTTGAGTCCGATTCACAAGCTTTGGACAACACAATTCAAATAAATTCATCCACGCCTTGTCGAGATTACAAAACCTTATAAAAAAAATTATAAGCGACACATAAGATTTGTTTTTCACATTTCTATTCTACAATTCGATGATTTCTTCTTCTTACAAAAAACACAATTTATCATACACAAAAAAAAAGAAGCAATTCTTACCAATCTTCCACGTTTTCTCCCATTTCTGCAGCGCCATCATCGTCATATTCATGGTCATTCTGATCCGTAAAAGGCTTGGCTCAAACAAGAGATTGATAAGAACGAATCCAAAAGAAAACAAATCGTCAAAAAAGCATAAATCATAATACACTGAAAACTGACTTATATTTCCATTTGTAGCTTCCGCATCTATGAATAGACCTAATATTTGTTAAAACACTGTAGACCTTGATAATTATTCATTAAATATAGATTTCATCTCTATTGTTCTCTCTTCACGCAAAATTATACTTCTTCCCTCAATTCTTCTCTTCTTCTCTCATACTTTCTGTCTTTTTTAAATCTATCTTGGTCCTACATCAGTGATATTCTCTCTTTTTCTCTATAATAGACAAGTATAAATAAGCTTTCAGAGACCATTCTAAATAATAGTAATCATAGTAATAACAAATATAAACACAAAGAAGAAATCAAATGCAGAGTTTCAAGTAGAATTGGGACATTATTTGTAACATCCCGATTTCCGGGCTTAAACTTTTGTATTAATTTTGTATGAAGGAATTGTAAGAGAAATGACAGAGGAATTTAAGGATTAAATTGCAAGGCTTTGGGGGGCAAGATTGTAAGAATTTTCGTATTTAGGGGTCATATTGCAGTATTAGGGAAAAAAAAAAAAAAAAAAAAAACCACATCCAGCTATCCACTCACGTGGCAATACTAAGGTTCAGCCAAGCCACAAAGCTCATGCTCCCATAAGACACGTTGAGAGGCTAACAAGACTAAGGGGGCAATAAGAAAAAAAATTTCACGTTTCTTCCACTATCTCATTCTCATTCTCCTTCTTCCTCTGCGTTTCCCTTGATTCAATCTCCATCTTCCACAAAGGGCTACAGCAATTCTTTGAAGTGAAGAGGTGGTTTAAGCTAGGATTCAAGGTAAGGATTTATTTGGGGAAAAATCTTTGAATGGCTGGGTGTTTGGTTGGGAGTAATTGATTGAATTATGTTTTGACTCTAGCTTGAGGAGGAGAAAGATTCAACTCAGCCCAGAATTGAAGAGGAATTGTTTTTTGAGAAAAATTTGGTGAGTTAAATGTATACTTTGTTTATAATTTTGAGCAGTCCCTATTTGATCAAATTCTGGGTTTTGTGTAAATGAATCTTGGAGGATGATTTATATATTTGAGGAATAGACATTTCATACTTTAAATGGAAACTTGAATCGCCCCAAAAGAGCTTTGTAGTTTAAGTTGTAAACTTTTGAACATAAAAAAAAAAACTGTCAAATGTACTTGCTGGACAGAATCTGTTCTTTCGGATTCTGGGAGTATTTGGTTAGGAATTTCAAAAGAAGGTTTACATAATTGGTAACTAGACATTGTAAGCTTCGTATAGCCACTGGAATCACCTTAAACGGATAACCATAGCCTAAGATATGAAATATTGAAGCTGGATGTGATTGTTGCAATTCTGCAGAAAAAAAATCAGCAATTCATGATCTGGTGTAACGTATTTTTGTAAGCCTTAACGGACCTAAAACCAGGTTTATGATAGCTCTTTGGAAAGCCCTAGATGTCTATCCTGAGTAGGCACTTATTTTGTAGTTTTTGAGGCTACATAGAATATTTTGTGAATATTCTTGTAGCAATCGTAAAAGTGCAAATTCCAGAAATTAATAAAACAAAGAACTGAGGTACCTACTTTTTGAAATGGGAGTGCTGCACCTCTTTGCCACCATTTAGAACAGGTTATTAGTGACGTGTGAGAGTTGAAATCACCTCATTTGGAGTTTTGTAACTCAAGTTGTGCACATAGAAAGTTTTATATAGAAACTTTCTAAAAACTGTCAAAAACGGAAAAAATAGAATTGTGATTTCGTAGAAACAGTTTTTGAGGTACTTAGAGATGTCGGATTGAAACATATGATACTCGTTGGAAAGATATACATGTCTACTTTGTTTTGAAGTTAATTTTAGAATTTTTAAAGACAGAGATAATATCTTCTGAATTTTCTTCTCAAGATGGACGAATATGTAAAATTCCAGTTTTCAGAGGAATGTGATTATGAATTAGAAATTGATTTATAGCTGAGCTATTGAGCTCTAATAACGATGGCCAACTTGTTTATTTTGGACAAAGGGAACGAAGAGGGTTAAACTCGGATTTTGCTAAGCAACTCAGGTAAGTAGAGTTTGACTTCTCTGCAGCACTTGTAAATTTTGTTTGATAGACTTTTCACGGAATGTCTAGTATGCTATTATGTGAGTTTTTGTGATGTTGTCAATGTGTATGGTTGTGAAGGCATGCTTATGTTAATATATTGTGCACAAAGTAGAGCATCACGTGGATTATTAGATTACTTGTGATTGAGCACATAATAGCATGCATGATAGGCCGGTACTGCCAAGTCCTCAAAGGACTTCTATTGTTATATGGTGATCGATGAAATTGTGATTTAGCCGCACAAGTCCCTCGAGCCAAGTGGGTGATGACAGAGACTATATTGTGATATTGAGAAATTGTGATTTTGAATGCGCTGGTCGTTCCCTCGAACCAGGTGGTGATGACGGGGAACCTGATATTGTGATTTGAGATATTGGCATGTGACCAGATTGTGAAAAAGCCGGCGGCAGTACCGGGAGGGCCCTAGTGATATATAGTGCACGTGCATAAAGTGTAGGATTGATTGTCATAAGTTACCTAGGATGTTGTGATGCATACGTATGTTAAAGTAAGATTGTGTAATTGTAGCTCTACTTACTGAGCCTAAAGCTCATTAAAGTTTGCTCTGTGCTGTAGGAAAAGGTAAGAACAAAGCAGAACAGTAAGCAGGGGAGCTGGCTTCGTTGACCGCTGTACATATGGTTAGACTGAAGAAGCTGCACACAGATTATTTTGGATTTGTAAACATATATATATTTTGGAGTTAAGCTCATAAACCTTGGATGACTGTATAATTTTAATTGTGGCTAGAAAACTTGATAGGAATGGTGTATTAACGAAATTTTGTTTAGGCAAAAAAAAAAAATTAAAACACCATAGTTTTCACATAAGTGACAAGTGAAGGTTAGTGATTGTGGCACGTCCTTAGATTTGAATTAATAGTAAGGAAATAAAGCTTGGAAGGAAATGGTATAAAAGGGGTGTCACATTATTATTACCGCACACAGAAATCTTCACATTGAGATAGAAGTTGAATGAGCAGTTTAAGTTCCGACTTTCCCACAAATCTCTGCAAGAAGAAAAAGAAATATTGATATATATAATATACTATATATTGGGCTACATATATAGATTGTGCAACTATACAAGCTTCTTTTGAACTTTCAGATATTACTAAGAAGACATAGCAGAGAACCGCCTCCATTAAGGGGAATGGACCCAACCACCAAATTCTGGCAATATGGACATTTATACACTTCTGAGAATTTGAAGGAAAAATTCCATCCCTTCAAGTTAACAACTAAGTTTGAAAGTTTATAAAAAAGGAAGCTTTATTTTTTTGTCAACTACCAAAATTTTATTGGCGAGAGAAGTTCCAAAGCCAATTTTCAGGGTAACAAAATATTTTGCACCAAAGAGAGCGGGAGTGGGGGGAACATAAATAAATCATTGTGCAGAAACTCAAATAGGCATTCCATCAAACATTTTACATGCAACTTCTTAATAGATACATACGCATCAAAGAAAACCTTATTCAAACTGAAGTGAACAGCTAATTAAATTATTCAGCAGAAAATTTGAAGTAGGCTAATTAGACAAAGATAAAACCCATACATAAATAATAACTCCTTATGTTTCTAATCAAGAGTCAAACTTTTTGAGTCATTTTAGCGTGCAATTCCACCTCTTGAAAGCTTTGATTGTCAAGGCTTCACAAGGAGAAAAAAGCAGGAAGTGTAGCATCTTTTTTACAATATACTATCGTCATTCAACTTTTAATGCTTTTAATAAAAACGCTAGTCTGCAACTTCTTGGATATTATTATTTTCTTTAGTTTCTTTATAGCAATAGTTTCTACACTGGAAGCTTAGTAATTCATAAGAAGAATTAAAAAAGTGAAATAAAGCCCCTACTAACTCATACATATAGGATTAATCTGTTATCCAGAATTTCGAATATAAAATTGAAACTTGTATATTTAAAATCAAGCCTTCAGGAAAGTTTAATTTCAAACAGAGCAGTGTGAAAAAGTGAAATCCATATAGCCGACCCCAATTAAGTTAGGACTAAGGCTTGTTGTTGTTGTTGTAAGCATGGAATGTACTATTCCCAACACAATGTGGGGTTTAAACAATTCATTACGGTTAAAAATTATACTATCTCGCGGAAAAACCAAACATTTTTCAACTAACATATACATGACAAAACCGAAAGTTATCCTTCGCACACTGAGAATCCCTTACATTTTTGTTATCTTTTGCACACATCTTATTTCCTACGAAACATCTCCTATTCTCTACCATTTCCAAAACTGATAAATGTAAATAGAATTGAACAGCCACTCAGTTAAAAGTTTCTATCAAGTTTGGAAAATTAACTAAAAAAGTTCTAGTGATTACTTAGTCAAGTACAAATTTAAGTCTTGGCTTTCTTGACTATTGCATAGAGAAAACTGAAATATTGCATTCCACTCCTATCAAATTCTCAGCCAATCTTCAC